TATTATTATTATTATTATTATTATTATTATTATTATTATTATTATTATTATTTTGCAAAGAGTGCTGCTGGTATCACATGTGTCTCTTTCAAAATCTCAGCCACTGAGATTTTCTTTCAGCACGGGAAAAGAGCTTACTTTTAAATCCTGTGTTTAGGAGAAAACCATAGGTTGGCTGTATACGTATCCTCGTTGGTATGTGCTGTCAAGTTGGAACTGATTTACAGTGACCCTAGCAGGGATTTCAAGGTACATGAGATATTAAAGGAATAGTTTTACCAGTTCTTCAGTGAGTTTCAGTGGCTGAGTGGGAATTAGAACCCTGCTCTCCAGAGCCCTAGTCCATTACTCTATCCACTACACCACACTGGATTATCAGGTATTAGTTTATTTGCTTTATTCCTCCTATTTTTGAGGTGGCATAGTCTATCAAGCAGGAACAGTTATAACAAAACAAGGTAACTTTAAAAAGTTCCTTTTTTTGCTACAAGTCTGCAAAAAAATCAGCCAACAGAGATCAATTTTTAGAACCATTTCCATCTTCTATGAAACTGCAACAGCTTTTGAAATGTTTTAACATCACACACAGCTTCTGTGATAGCCCTTCCAAATACACAATGCAATGAGCACTATTTAAAGCAGTCACTTAACACACACACTTACTTCCTAAAGCCCTTTTAGCACCATTTTGCTTGCCATGGAGCCCCTGTCAAATGGTAGGGGGTTCTTGACAGGCCTCTTTGAGGTCTCCTCTGCCAACAACTTACAGCTATCTCTTGCCAAGCTTTCTCCCAGTGAAATTCAAGATGACTCACAACGTGAATTAAAACAGTAACAGCCATTCAGTTGACAGCAAAGAGGGATACGGTACTACCCAAGAAGCATGGTAACTCAGAGGAGCAGGGCAAACTGCCCAAATGCACAACCCTGCCCTCCCAACTAAAGGGAATGGCCAGGAGGAATTTGCTATTGCCTTCTGCAAGCAATCCGGCATCTGAAGTAACCACTGCAACTTCAATAATGGTAGGGCTGGCTTTGGAAATCAGATGCTGAACTAGTCAGAGCTCTGATCTACTCAGGAAGGCTTATGTTCTTAACCTAGGAGGTCACTCGCCTAGCACCCTATACCCTGTGATTATACTTGGAAAAGGAGGGCAAGTTGCCTGTTGAAGAACTTCTGGAAAGCTGTCCTACATGCAGTTTGAAACATAAAGGCTTTGGGAGTCCTACACTTTCCTATCTAAACATGTACCATAGCGGGTTTGCAATGATGTTTCACTCAATGAATGGAGAGAAAAAGGTCCTTGCAATCTCACAGGGACAACGTAACATAAGGAACTGGAGATTGGCATGCCTGCTATCCGCACTAGAGGACAATTCTGCAAATAAGTACAGGGTCACTGGGTAATCCTGGGCAACAAGCCTGACAAGCTTGTTAGAAGGTTGGTCCTCAGCACGAGTTGCTAAACCCACCTCTACGAGCAGCTCGGAACTACCCTTTGATTACACTATTTCAATTAAGGTGTTTAAGAAGCTGTGGTTCAGATAACAAAGTTGTAGGTGAAAGGTCTTTTCTATGGAGAAGCTAAATGCCTGGCATAATTTTCCACAGCTTAGAAAAACAGCAACATTGCAGCCTCAGCTAATTGTATCAACCACTGGTGAGCCGGAAAAGATGCTTTACAATTTTTTATATCGGGTGACTGACAACAAAGGAGAACGAAAATATTTTTGTCAGTTATTTATGGTCAGTTCTGCAAAATAAATGTATAGGACAGGATCCAGCTATCATGTCTTTATATGATGCTTGATGTGGGCAGAAGTAGCTGCAACTATCCAGGGTATTTTGGTACACAGTTGCTTTATTTAATAACCAAGTAGATGTACTGGTAACTTTTCAAGGAAGTTTATATACATAACATAATGCTGTCTTCGTGGGCATATGAAGTCATTTAAGGCAAACACCCACAGATACTCACAAAACAAATAAAGCAACATCTGCCCCCTTGTGGTACACCTGAAAAAATAGAACGGGAAGTAATTTCAAAAAAACTAGCCAATCATGTTCATGGTCACAAAAACAATACAGATGCAGGAAGAGGTGATACCTTCAATTGACCATTAAGAATACAAAACAAAAAACAAACGCTGCAAGCTTTTGATGATCAACCATCTTCTTCAAGGCTGTGCATCAAGTTCTCATGGGTAATTCCAAACTGATATACTGTTACACTCCAAATTCACATGGCTGATGATGTTGAGGCAAGTTCATGTTAAATCAGTTTCAGCACATACCATATAATATAATAAAAATGAAGGGGAAACAAAAAGCTTTGAGCACCTTTAAGAATAACAGATTTCTTTCACTGTGAGCACTTTCTGTGCTTTATAATCCCCTTCTTTATATACATGAAGTTCAGCACTGAGGCTACAGCTTTATGTACACCATGTCTATATAAAGCTGTGGCCTCAATATTACACGTCATATGTCTACAGAAGCGGGTTGCAATCCATAAAAACTCACAGTGAACTCTGTTTGTCTTTAAGGTGCCAAAAACCTTTGTGTGTTTGTGTGGCTATGTAGTACAGAAATGATCTAGAGCTGCACACTTCAGAGGGTTCCAGCTCTGAGGAATTTCTCTGCAAGGACTGGCACACTTGTTCATGCGTCAGAGAAGTGGGTATTCCAACCGCTTCATAATGTCTCTGTGTTGGACACAGATATACAAGTTCTCTCCCCCAGATCTACCTCTTCAAGAGTGAACATTTTCCATGACCTTCAGTGGAGAATCTTAGTGCTCAGATGACCATCCAATGTCTGCTTAAAACACCACCAGAGAAATCCCATCGCCATGTCTCAAACCAGCTTGTTCCACCGTCAAGCAGCTCTTGTCATGAAGTGACTCCTAGTGTTTAGCCAAAATTTTGCCCTTTGTAGCAACGTGACAGCCCTCTCCCTTTAACCTTCTTCTTCCACAAGGAACACATACTCTCAGCTATTTCAACTCCTTATACAGCAGGACTGCAGCATCTTGGGGGTGTTCCAAGGCATCCTCGTATAAATGTCAAAAACCCACAGGAATAGACAATGCTATACATAGCATGGTCTCTGGCTTCCTCTTTTTATTTTTTTCAGGTAGAAGATAAGTGAATCTCCGGATATTAATCCCATGGACGGGGGTGGGGGCCCTACTGTACTTGCTAGTTGGGTTTTCCAGATCTCTTACCCTTCATGGTAACACTCCTAGTTTGCCAATCCTCCTCTTAAGACATGGCATCCAAAGCTGGAAACAGTACTCCAGGTGTGGCCTGGAAGAGTACCATGAAACAGTTGCTTATGATCTGGATGCTATTTTTACTTATGTGCCCTGCTAAACAGCATCCACTTTTTAAACAGCTCTGTCCCATTTGACTTATTAGCTAAGATACCTATACTCTTGTCACACACACACTCCAAACCCAGGCTTCCCCAACTTTATGTCTGTGCCTCTGATTTTTTGGATCCAAATGCAAATTGTTACATGGGCACACATACTATACACTGGAAAACATCAGCATGACAGTTTCAGCCCATGACTGCTCATGTTTGGTGCATTCATGCAATGAAACAAGCAGATTTTCGATACTCCAATTTAGTATATTATTTTATTTTGCAATTAAGCGCTGTTTACTCATCTGATTTTCTGTTTAAATTCACACTTCTGTGCCTGTACTGCCTTAATTATGTAAGTCTTCAAATCAGTCTACAGTATTTAATTTCTAGAGTATGGCTTCCTTCTATTTTCAATGGACTGTTTTATTTCCTCTTACATGTCTCAGTAGTTCAGGCATCAGAGAACCACAGAGCTGCAATTCTAAAGTGCCCCTAACCACCCAGATATGTAAAAGGAAAGAACAGTCTTATTCCTGTAAATAATTACACTAATTAAAGACTCCCTTATAAATATAATTTACATAAGATGCAATTAATGGTAAAACTGCAGTTTTAACCAAGGCAGGCAGTAAACAATGCTCAACTAATTACTACATAAGTTAAGAGGAGATAAACTCAGCACTAAATTGCTGACATGAAAACTGGAAAGGGCTGGAAAGCAACTAATGTCATAATGTAATATAAAACTTTCATTTTACATTATTACATTATAAAAACTTTATTAAACTACACTGTGTTAATTACATTACATTCCAGTTAATTAAATAATATATTTAATTTGAAAGTTTTTAAAAAATTAAGTAAAATGGGAAAACATGACATATAGATACAATGTTTGGTGTTATGACTACCTATCAGACACTCCGTGGGAATGAAGAGCAGGGAAACTCACTACTTCCTCTCTAGTTGATTCAGTGCCGGGGAAAATCAACCGGGGCATACCTGGAATCATCCTAACACCTAACCACTGGTTCTCAGAAACATCTCTGGGAATCCTGGTTGACTTGAAATGTAACTAAAATGTGATTCCATGTTTTATGATGAGTGGTACATAGATGACCGTGCAAATTAAAAAGGCCCCCAGTTTAATTTAGGGCAGGATTCAAGGCAAGCATGATACAAACAAGACACTTACAAAGAGCACAGATAATCACTCATTTAAAAATTAAGAGGTTTATTTTAAAAAAAAAACCTTCCTCCTGTTTGTGTGCAGTAACTCCACGCATGTGCATGTCACAAAGATCCTTGAGAAGTCCTTGTTTCCATATAATAAACACTTGGCTTGTCTCATGCTGTTCTAGAAGACTACAAAAACAACCCAAACTCTTCCAACAGTTTCCCTACAAGCATCACATTACACAAGTTAAACATGCCATATTAGCATGCCTATCCCACTACAGAACTGGAGGAAATGACTACAATATACAAAAATAAAGATACCGACAACAGTAAATTAGCTCACCTGCCTGGAAATCTGGTATGACTAGGATTAACCGCTGGGATTTTGTACAGCAGTTGCACGGCTCTGCAGACACCAAAGCTGCTCATGTCGTGCATCTCCCTGAGGGGCTGAGAACTATATATCAAGGAAAAATGGCTTCTTCTCCGTTATCTGCTTCACCACATCTATCATCACTTCAGATGGCAGATTGTACACAATTCTAAGCCTGACTTATACAGGCAGTCACACAGGGTATGAGAACCCCCAAACCTTACTCTCTCTGATCTTGTACATACATTTTTCTGCATAAATGAAGTTATCTAAGCAACTTTCAGATCAATGTCTTCCCATTTCCGAGTACTGAACTTGAACAGTGAGCTTCAGTCCAAACACCCCCTAAATTCTCTTTCCAGAGCGGCAGAGTAAGGAACAAGCACAGAGAATCTTTAAGAATGAAGGGACACCAGAAAAGTAAGTCCAGTCTTTAAAAACTGACATATTCCTTCATATTACACAGTCACATACCAGGGATGGGGTGGCGGATGGGGCAGAATTAAGTCTTCACCTATAGTTATAAAATGGGGAAAAAAGGGTTGTCTAAACAGGCTTCCTAAATAGGAATTATCTTAATTGGCTCAGAAAGGAAACACTATATCAGTTGTACTAGGACCCAGAGATATACTCTAAAGCCTTCAAAAGAATAAATACCCATGCTATGGAACAAATTGCTTTCTGAATGGTTTTTTTAAACTCAAGAATTTTTTCTACTATAGATTGAAGCTGGAAGGTAAAAGGCTTGCACAGTTCAAGAAGCACAAATCCAAAGAATCTAAACAGGCATGTTTGGACCAGGAAGGGGCAATCCTGCCTCTAAGTGTTGTTTTCCCCCACCCCCCAAAGTCTACAAGTCCTTTCAGCTCTAGTCAGCTTTAGCCCACATTGAGAGATTCTGGGGGACACAATCCAAAAACAGTAAGAGGGTCACAGTTGTCCAACCCTGCCTTAGCTAACAGATGAAACCGAGCGGGAGGAAAGGCATTTACTGTACAAGTTTCACATTGCACTTCTAAGACAAACTCATTATCTCTGCTCTTTTGACAGAATTGCAGAATTACAACCTGACTTACCACGAGGGCTTCCTTACAACCCTCTCCCCTTGCTTTAATGACCATTCCAATGTTACTCAATTCTGCAGACATATGCTAGAATCCAAAACCCAGTTTTATGGCTCCTGCAACTGGCATATGGACATTAAAAAGGGTGAAAGCTGGAATTACACGAATGGGTAATAAGGAGCAAGAAAGAAAGTAGAGAAAGAGACTGGAAGAGGAGATCAGAAAGAGCAAACAACTTAGAAGGGTAGAACTGAGGCTTTAGAATTGTGCACAAAACCAAACCTTTTAACACTGACCCAAGTGGGCAAGTATAATGGCTTGCTTTATGACTGTCACGTTCAGTGGGGAACCAAGCAGAGGGGTCTACTGTACTTAAGTCTCCTTAGTCATATTACAAGTTGGCAGGTGAGCCCAGAAGTTACTGCATGGTTTTATTCCATATTAGAAAGCAAAAACATTCTTCTCTACAATGGTGCATGTTTTAAAACATATGACAAGACTAAAAACAAAATAAAGCCAATTCTTCTACAAATCGGTGTTCTGCACCAAACACTAGAATTTTAGTTACCTGCAGAATCTGACCAGCTGCAACAAGTGGCTGATACAATGCTAGTGCTCACCTAACATGAAATTGCTACAGGTTCTTTCTCTTCAGGGCAAAGGCCACATCCAACCCCAAGACTTGACAACAAAAAGATGCTATTAAAGGAGAAGGACTCCAAAAGGAGCATATAAAACTATGCAGTTATGTTGTTATTTTTTCCAGCAGGATGGTTATTCTGTGTTGGGACACTATGATGTAGAACCTGATGATCCCATCCAACTGTAGTCAGCAAGCTTTTGTTCAAAGGCGACCACGATAAACCTTTCACAAAGTCTCGATGGGAACGATTCCTAAAACTGGGAAAGACAAGAAACACTGGGTTGTTATCGGAGGAATCCATAGAATATATATAGTCCCAAGCAATGAACCAGATGCCCTATGTGATGTCATTAGCAGGAAATTACTGTAAGTGTAAAGTTAACAGGATCCAAAGTCTACTGTGCAATGAGATTACAGCAGCTATCGCCAATCTGGTGCCCTCCAATTGCTCTGGACTGCTACTCTCATTACTGTGGTGGATTATGAGTTAGGATCTAAGCCCGATGAAGAGTACCATGACCATAAAGGAGAATTTGAGAGAAGTAGAAAAGACAACTGAAAAGAATGCAAGTTGGGAATTAACAGGGTTGGTATATACTCACATTTCTGAAAAGCTAGAGTCAAGAACAACTACCGAACAGTCTTCACTGATGGAGGCCAAAAGGGGTGAGCTGGAGGTGAAAGAAAAACATGCTTAACAAATGAGGCAGGCTTAGACACAGCAGAACCCACACATATGCACAGCTCTGACACCTTCCTCTGACTAAGAGAGACAGGTGGATTTGGAGAAGAAAGGAGGAGGGAGAAAGAGCATCTGGATCTTCACAGGGATGCCTAAGTGAAATGTCACTAGCAGAGAAGTATAAAACCAAGTTTTGCAACGGGGAAAAAAGAAGAAGCAAGTGAAATGTGGCAGAAATATGTGCATATACAGCTTTCAGGCCTCCTGCGGAAAAGACTAAAGGATTAACTCAAAAGCTTAATCAAGAAGGTTTGAGAAAGCTTGAAAGAGGAGAAAGAGATATTCTGGACATTCCATGCAAAAGGAGCAGTAAGAAAGGAAAATGCAGCTGGAGCCTTTGAAGTGGCAAAGGAGGAGGACTAAAAATCATCTACATTAATTATGACTGCTTAAAAATGAAATTAAAAGACCATTCAAAAGGGCAATGGTAGAAGCCAAATTTAAAATGGTCACAAAGAATGTAAAATCCAGAAAAATAAAGGTACAAAAGCTATATAGCCAGAATGCTTGCCTTCATTATTTCAAAGAAAGGCTTGGAACTGAAATTTGAGTAAACATCTCATGTAGTTTACAGGACTATCAATCAGCAAAGATACGGACATTTAGATAATGTCAGGCTTCGGGCTTAAATCTTATATAGGAAAGAGCTTCTTAGACTGTAATGGTATTTCTTCCTTCACTTCAAAATATGGCAAGCATCTGGAGGTTCTGCTGCTCACTCTGATACATGATGCCCTGGACTTTCACTTCAAAGTCCTGCTTGGACAGCATTCTAGAATACTGAGCAATGTGCTACCACAGACTCAGGCAGGCCAACTATTATACAGTAGTTCATACCTATGTGCAGAAAAAGCAAATCCCGCGATTCCTCGAGAGTGCAGAGGTGAGCTGAGGGAAGAGTCTGCATTCTTCATGTCCACAAGAGCAACTGTCCCACTTTCGTCACCTTAAAAATAGCAGTGCAGAACATAAATACTACTAAGTACATCCAGAAACGTGAGCATTTTCTTGCAAAGTTTAGATTATGAGAAACACTCCTTACCCAATACAAAAGTGTCACTTCGATGTGGATGCCACACCAGTGAGGCAGGAAGATTACTAGAGGCACTGCAGGCTGCATGGGGCAGAAGAATGAACAGTTTTTGAAACCTTCTTATTTTACTCTCCACACCAACCATTCTCAATTTTTTTTTTTGGCCCACAACTCTCTTAGGGGCTCTTCTTGATAGCATATAATAAACAAAACACAAACTAGATTTGCTTATTAGATTCAGGAATTGGAATGGTCAATATTGTACTCGCCAGTATCGTTGCATAGCTACACCAGCACAGTTGGAATGATGGCACTGGGAGTGGCAGGTTGCCACTAATGAATGTCTCTGTTTCGTTTTGGGTGTGAATGCCCCAAATCATGGTTTGCACACAATTTTGGTCAACCCTGCTTCACTTCAACCATTAGCACCATTCTGCAAAAATAACAATATGCTGTGGTTGAAGGGCACTATGAAAGAGTGGAAAAAATTACATATAAAAGTGATGGAAATATGTGAACTTGCAAACACTCCTAATTGCCACCTGGAATTCAGGAATGCTATGTCTACACTAGGTTTCGAGAATGCATGGATATCCTGCTTCAATCATGAGTAAATGTACTGGTCTACCTCTCACAGACTATCTGAAGTTTCTGTTGTTCAGAGAGAATCAAATAATAACACAGTTAGTGGCTAAGTTTTTATTTTCAGCTAAGAGAATTCGCAAAACGCAACGCTAAGTTTTTATTTTCAGCTAAGAGAATTTGCAAAATACTACAGCAAGATTTTATACTATACTATGTATTTATTCTATGTATTTAACTTTGTATAATGGGGTCTATGAGTGCTTAATAAAACTTTATATATTTCCCATGGAAAGAATATTCTTGTCAGATTTCACAATGAAGGCCTGTGAGTCCTCCAGTTCAGAACTGTATATAGAAAACACAATCCTTTATTCTTTGAGAGAAGACAAGGTTTCTGCAATGCTGAATTTCTATTGGGCAAAAAAACTATTTATTTTCCAAAAGTTTATTCTGCTTAAGCCACAGGAAAAACAAAGAAATGCTTCTATATCACCAAACATACCTATCCGAGTTGCTGGTTTTGGAGATCTGGTATCCCAGAGTAAAATCCTGCCATCCTAAAAATTAATTTTAAGAGCTGATCAGATAAAAGTCCATTTAAAGCAAAATTGTCAAAATAACAGTAATTATAAAGTACTATAAAACAAAAGCTTTTTTCTTTTCTTGGATTTCCCCACCTCTTTGTTGATAACTATATTGTTAAATTAAGTGCTGCTAATAAAACATTCAGAAATCCCAATTACTTGGCCTTACGAATACATAGGCTAAATTTAAATTTGAACAGATCAGAAAGAAGAAACTGAATTTACCTCGGCGCAGGACAGGAACACTGTATCCTTCCCAGGGCAGGAGGCCACACATGATACTTGGCCTGAATGAGCTAGCGAAAATTAAACAAAAAGCACAACACATTGAATTAATATGTTCTTGGCTTGGGCAGTGAATCCCAGACAGTTGAACTGGAGGAAAAAAGCACTACTGCACTCAGATGCGAGGAAGAAGACTTTCATCCACAGAAACGATGTCAGCAATGTTGACATGAAAAGACAGACTGTGGGCTAGTGTGCAAAATGAGGAGCTGCAATTAGGGTTGCTTGAGAATTCTATCATTGTGAATTTAGTTGCTGGCTGACCTGATCTACACTTACTGCAACACTATGTAAACTGTGACATAACCATCCATTAACTATCACACTTTGTTGAAAGCTGCAACAGCTATCAGCTTCAAAAGAAAAACACAATACAAAATAATCTATTAACATAAAACATGTCAAAATCAAAATATTTTGAGGGAAAACACACTTAGAAATTGATTCTTCTTCCCAAAAAAAAATCCATCCTCTGAAGTTTTAAACAAATGAAGATCAAAAACATTGAGAGGCTAATGCAATTAGCCCATCTGCATGCAAGTTGAAATGACAGATCTCATGGAAACTGCATGTTTGTAAGGACTGAAATGGAAAGCCATGCCTAAATTTGGATTTGGTTTTCCTTCACCCTTGACTAGAGGAATCCATGACAGATAGTGTGGACCAGCTTAGAGGCTAGCGAAAATTAAACAAAAAGCACAACACACTGAATTAATATGGTCTTGGCTTGGGTGGTGAATCCCAGACAGTTGAACTGGAGGAAGAAAGTATTACTGCACTCGGATGGGAGGAAGAAGACTTTCATCCACCGAAACGATGTCAGAAAATGTTGACATGAAAAGAAAGACTGTGGGCTCGTGTGCAAAATGAGGAGCTGCAATTAAGGTTGCTTGGGGTCCAACTTAGAGGTGAGTTTGTCTTCCCACCAGTACAGCCAAAGGATAATTCCAACTGTTAGGAAGCATTACTTCCTCCTAACTTGCTCAAATTTAAGCTGTGGGGATGAGCCAAATGGAATCACCATCACAAGCATAAGGAACCGCAGATTGAAAGAACTCCTGTCTGGCCATGTTTACAATGGCATCTTACTGCACACAGATCAAAAGGTAGTGGCTTCTGCCATGTCACCCCATATAACAAGAAACAAGGTTTAATTTTTTTTTCTGGTTAAAAGCAACAACTCTTGCTCGTAGTGTATCTTTTAAACTGAAAAATGTCACAGCTTTTTCATCTTTCTTTGTTTTGTTAGTTTTCCTTTTCATGTAGAAGCCAGCTGTTTCACAATGAACTTTATATACCAAAAGTTTGGAATTCAGCACACAGAAATATTCCTTGTGCACCACTGCTTTTTGTCTCCTGTTCATACTGAATAGAACATTCAAGTGAGCTGGAAAAATGCAGAGAATCCACAGGCGCTATTTTCAACAGCTGCCCAGTCCACCTCTCCAGACCATCTGCACTGGTGAGAAAGAATTGTGGCTTTATTTCTAATTCTCCAGATCTTGTTGGACTGCAACTCTCATCATCCTTCCCTTTTCATGTAGAAGCCAGCTGTTTCACAATGAACTTTATATACCAAAAGTTTGGAATTCAGCACACAGAAATATTCCTTGTGCACCACTGCTTTTTGTCTCCTGTTCATACTGAATAGAACATTCAAGTGCGCTGGAAAAATGCAGAGAATCCACAGGCCTGTCTATTTTCAACAGCTGCCCAGTCCACCTCTCCAGACCATCTGCACTGGTGAGGAAGACTAATCAACTCCATAATCTGGAGCGATACAACTTTCATCCCTGGCCCAGAGGCCCCCAGTCCAGAAAGAAAGTGAACCAGTCACAACATTAGGAAATTACACAAAAGAAGAAAATAAATACGGGAGTTTCAACAGGAACTGGACATGCAAGGGCATATTAAAGCTTTGTCAAAACTGCCTCTTATCAGACAACAGACAAGACTTAAGTCAGAGTGCACCACTGAACACAGAAAGGGTAAACCCAGTGTGGTGTTGTAGCAGATTTACTTTTCTGCTCAGTCATTATATTGCAATGGATCAGTAACTGTTTCTCCCTTTTTCTATGCCATACTGCTGTTATAAGCATTCATATTAGTGAAAGGTTGGGTTACATGCAATGCATATCACCCTGAACTACAGTATATGAAAAGAGAAGCAAGATAAAGAATAAATCAAGCCCTCACCTCTGTAGGTGTTGAGCACTGTTTGCTGAGGGATATCCCAGATCTTCACACTAGACATAAAATCCAGATTAAGTTTAAGTGGAATGGACTGTTTTAATAAAAGGAGAAAAGCAGTAGCACAAAGAGGGTCACCTGAAGTCTTTGCTGCCGCTGATGGCCTGGGTGTTGTTGGCCAGAACGCTCACTGTTGTCACAATGTTGTCATGCTCGTACTTACAGAATTTGTTCACTATCAGAGTCTCATTCTCATCCAGCTCCCAGAATTCCACAGCACCTGGATAAGACAGAAAAACACATTCAGCAAAAGATTTTTCCCCTCTGAAAGCTCTTCTACAAAAATATGGAACTAATATTAAAACAAACCCTGCAAACATCTATAAGAGGTAACTTCCATCAGTGGTGTACAAGGAATATTTCTGTGTGCTGAATTCCAAACTTTTGGTATATAAAGCTCATTGTGAAACAGATGGCTGCTACATGAAAGGGGAAGGGTGATGAGGGTTGCAGTCCAACAAGATCTGGAGAATTAGAAATAAAGCCACATGTAGTCTATGTTAACATTTGTACATTGCTGATAGACAGGCAGAAACCTAGGTATAACTACTTCTAATGTAGGCCAAAAGATGTGCAACAAGAATTAAAAGGTTAATGGAACTGAGACACTCATTCTTCCTCCTGTTTTACGCATCTCCTTTCAGATCCGCCTCATTTTTATCCACTGTTTCTTATCTTCAACCTGCCCAATCAATGTATACAACATCTCAGCCAAGTCCCAGAGTTCCTCTAAATTTGGGAGTGAATGAATAGGGCTAAAATGTGGTTTGATCCAGGAATGGGTATCATTCCTATTAGCCAAAGCATACAGAAGAATATTCATTGATTTGTGGTACCATTGGATGCTTACATGAATCACACATCTACCATCAGAAAAGGAAATTTGAGGACGAAATCATACATTTAGGAAATTTGCTGCTTATTTCCTGTTATTGCAACATAGTCCTATCAGGCACACAGTTTCATCAGAGAACAATCAGACTTGGAAATGAAGTGTATGTTATTTAATGATTAAATGCAGAACAAAAGTCAGTCGACTTGCAAAATGCAGAGAGAAGTAAGATTACGCTAAGACAACCAGACTGCTTGCATTTGCTTATAACGATCCTCTACCTGCAGCGTGGGCATGAGACATAATATTCTACTTCAAAAGCCGTGTCCTTTTAAAGCAAAGCTCCACAAATAAATAAATAAATAGATAAATAAAATGCAGAGAGAAGTAAGATTACGCTAGGACAAGCAGACTGCTTGCATTTGCTTATAATGATCCTCTAACTGCAATGTGGGCATGAGACATAATATTCCACTTCAAAAGCAGTGCACTTTTAAAGTAACGCTCCGTAAAAACAATCTCTTCACAAAATTCTGACCACGATTAAAAAAAACCCATAGGAGATTTCAAGACAGAAGGCTCTTTAACACTCACCTGAATCTGAAGCTACCAAGATGCCTTTCTCCGCTACCCATTTCAGGTCTGCTATTCCTGCTTCTGTTTGAACTCCTGCAGAGCAAAACCCTTCATTGGGAGCTTTTGATGGATCCTTGAACACCCAAATAGAGCCTACCCAGCAACGTCCACTCAAACTGGATGCTCCCAGCAGCAAGGAACCATCTAGATGAGCAAAAAGAAATTCACAGAGTTAAGTGCAAACTGTTCACTGTAAATATGTATGAAGATCCCAGCAGCAAGGAACCATCTAGATGAGCAAAAAGAAATTCACAGAGTTAAGTGCAAACTGTTCACTGTAAATACAGTATGTATGAAGTGAAACTGTAAACCTAGCATAAAGAAATATGACTGCTATTTATTTATTTATTTATTTATTTCTTCTATTTGTACCCCGCCTATCTGGTCAATAATGCTCAAGTTGGTAAACCTAGCATAAAGAAATATGACTGCTAATTATTTAATGCTCAAGTTGAGCTAGATGCTGTCCAATACACCAAAATCATAAAGTTCCCTCATTGGTGACTCACAATTCACCCTGAATTGGGGGTGAAAAAAGGGGGGTTAATATAATTCCCATCGTACTTGATCTCTGGTCAGACAGTCTGGGGGACGATGGGAGTTGCCGTCAAATTCTTGAGGCAGCTGGCTTGGAGAAGACTGTCTCCTTTCACTATTCCTTAAAAATGTGGAAAAACTGAACAGGAGAACAGTTTTAGGCACGTTATTTCAGAAATAAGTGTTACTATGTACAACAGGATTGATTTCGCGAGAAGCATACATTTTTACCCCGGGGTTACAGGAAAGTTGCTATCTTTTCCGCTAATGCTCAGGATGAGATGGAGAGATTTCAAAGAGGTGTTCGAAGAAATGTAAAATGATGATGATGATGAGTAAATAGGGATCTCTGCCCAAGTTCGCTGGGCTACCACGTGGAAGAACCCTACCAGAAATGCAACGGACTCGGGGAGGGGAGAATGGGGCATCATCCCACACAGCAACGACGGGTCTTTCAAGCGTAAACTTCAGGAAGAACCGAAATTACAGCAGGTACCTGCCCGGTAGTGGGCTCCGTCCAAGTGGCGCTCCATGCAGGCAGGCGCGTTGGGCGGAATACTCCATTCTGAGCCGGTTTCTCCATCCGGCGGCTGCTCCGGGCTCGGATTCGTTTTTTCCATTGCTCCCTTGGCGCGAGACCGACGGTCCAACAAGCTCAGCGCGTTCCCACGTGTTCCCCGGACACCTCGTTCCCCGCCCCCGGACAGTTCTCGCCACTCTTCTTCTCGCGAGAACGGCCAACAAGGTACTTCCTTCCACCGCTCCTATTTTCCGGGGCATGACTTCAAAGCAAGGCTTGGGCTCTTCTCGCGATATTTCCCACGGAATTGATCCATGTGAACGTTGTAAAGTCCACAAGGACACTCAGGAAACAGAGTTTTTTTAAATATAGATATGTGAGCATTTAGAGTAGAGATAGAATATCATTTTCCCCCAGGAATAATGAAGTTAGAAGCAATTATAGTTACTGTACCGGGTTATTTCGAGTGAAAATATGAACTCATTCTATATCGTAATTAATTTTATATTGTTAATGCCATACACATACACACACAAACATAGAATTAATTCATATTTTTCATTGAAATTTGTGAAGTAACTGCCGTCTGGCCAGGCCTGAATAGGATGGAACTTGTAAAAGAGTTGCACTGACCCTCATTTATTTTTTTACTCCAATGTGGAGTATGAATGGCCACTGAAGGAACTTTCTGATTTTGGTGCTTTGATCTATATCTAGATATAGATATAGATCTCTCTCTCTCTCTCTCTCTCTCCCACCTATGCTAAAAAAGCAGCCTTTGCCCATTGCTTTCTATGGGCAGTTCTGGAGCTTGAGGAATTGGGGGGGGGGGCATTGTTAAGATCCCCAGGACAGCCCTTTCTCTCACTTCCACCTGGGGGGGACAGGAGAGAGGGCCTTTTGGTGCTCCTCCCAGACCCAGGCTAAGGACCATCCTTCCACAGGAGAGCAGGCCTTCCCCTATCTCTGTTGCCCTTCGGCAGACAGACTGCACCCTTTCTTTTTAGGCAGATTATTAAATAGTAATTGCCTTCTTAGGTAGCAGTTATAATAAGCAGTTTTTTAAAATGTTTTATTCATGTGATTTTAATAAAACAATAACCATCAAGTCAGTTCTGATTTAAGGAGACCCTTTTCAGGGTTTTCCAAGTAGAGAATACACTCAGAAGTGGTTTACCATTCCCTTCATCTGGGGGGTGCCCTGGGACTGTGCAGCTTGCCCAAGGGTCACACAGGCTGGCCCTACTTGCAAGGAGGCACAGTGGGGATTCGAACTTCCAATCTCCAACTCTGCGACCAGATACCAAAATCACTAAGCTATCCAGCAAGCTAATGTGGCTTTACATAGTTTTCTTTTCCTGTGGTTTGAACTCTTAACTCGTTTAAATGCTGTAATTTATGTTTAGCCATTGTAATGCGTTTTTTTAAAAAATACTTTGTGAGGCACGTTGGTTCCCTTTGTTGGAAAAAGACGGGGTATTAAACAAATAAAGTTGCTTTTCCAGCTCCTAGACCCTCTCAGTAAAGCCCCCAAACAGTAACCTTCCCGAGCCCTTTAACTTGACGGCAGGCAGCCGCTGTTATCTATGAAAAAGTTGTGAAGTGTTTCGTAATCTGGAGTGTTGGCGCCTTAAAGACGAACCATTATATTTGAATGTAAGCTTCCGTGCTTAAAATATAATGGCTAGTCTTTAAAGTGCCACGTTTTTTGCCTTTTTTGGTGTTGTTTCTTCAGATTTTGCTCTGATATTTTTGCATAGACTAACATGCGAGTATCTCTTCTAAAACTATATCTGGAGAGTGGGAGTCCGGAAGACCTTGGATCTATGGCGATTCTTCGGATGCTCAAACGACCGAGGCCACACCGCACCAAGTCGAAGGCAATACGTCCATTTCCCACCTTTACTTCTGAGCCTGCCCAAAGTTGAGGGGAAAAAATAGGAAAGACCGCGTGATCTCCAAAAACTATAGAAACGCAGGAGCATGTGAAACCTTTATTAGACCCCTAATGGAGTTGCTACATTTGGGGTCGTATGGTCTTTAATGTTCATAGTTCTATGTTTCCCTCCCCCTCCCCCCCCGTTCGGCTTTCTGTTCGACTCCGCGGTGACATTGACAGGGTCGAGCGAACGAGAACTGCTCGAGGGCGCTCTCGCGATACTTTCTTGGCGGCCATTTTTGTGGCTGCCGCTGAGGGGTCGGTCACCGGGACGGAGAAGGCAGCGGTAGTGAATAGGACGCGATGCTCTCCCGCTTGGCGTTGCAAGCTCTGGGTAAACGGAGGGCGCTGGCTCAGGGGTGGTGGAAGAAACGGGGAGAGGGAGGAGTTGACGGATAGTGGCCATGCTGTGATTCTTTGCTCGTGTTCTTCCCTTTTTACAGCCCCAGCAGGCCTGAGGACCTTGGCGCCCTGTTTGTCCGTGGGGTAAGTACAGGTGGAAGAAGATCCTGGGGGCCCTGCTGGGAAGTTTAAAGCACGAAGGTCTCGGTGACCGAGTGCCTGAAGCTGCGCATCTGGGCTTTTATGAAAAGGGTTGCATAGGGTTCCCACTTCCTCTTCTGGATTTTTATGCTTGCAAAATATGCAGGTATCCAACAGGTGAAGTTTGCCCTTACGACTATATGTTTCTTTTGTTGTTTAGTCGTTAAGTCGTGTCCGACTCTTCGTGACCCCATAGACCAGAGCATGTCAGGCCCTCCTGTCTTCCACTGCCTCCCGGAGCTGGGTCAAATTCATCTTGGTAGCTTCGATGACACTGTCCAACCATCTCCTCCTGTGTCGTCCCCTTCTGCTCTTTCCTTCACACTTTCCTAACATCAAGGTCTTTTCCAGGGAGTCTTCTCTTCTGATGAGATGGCCAAAGTATTGGAGCCTCAGCTTCAGGATCTGCCCTTCCAGTGAGCACTCAGGGCTGATTTCCTCCAAAATGTATAGGTTTGATCTCCTTGCAGTCCAGAGGACTCTCAAGAGTCTCCTCCAGCACCACAATTCAAAAGCATCAATTCTTCAGCAGTCAGCCTTCTTTGTGGACCAGCTCTCACTACTATACATCGCTACTGGAAAAACCATAGCTTTGATTATGCAGCCCTTTGTCAGCAAGGTGATGTCTCTGTTTTTTAAGATGCTGTCTAGGTTTGTCATCACTTTCCTCCCAAGAAGCAGGTGTCTTAATTTCGTGGCTGCTGTCATCATTTGCAGTGATCAGGGAGCCCAAGAAAGTAAAAGCTGTCATTGCCTCCATAACTACCCCTTCTATTTCCCAGGAGGTGATGGGACCAGTGGCCATGAGCTTAGTTGGTTTTTTTTTATGTTGAGCTTCAGACCATTTTGGCACTCTCCTCTTTCACCCTCATTACAAGGTTCATTAATTCCTCCTCACTTTCTGCCATCAGAGTGGTATCATCTGCATATTGGAGGTTGTTGATATTTCTTCTGACTATCTTAATCCCGATTGGGATTCATCCAGCCCAACCTTTCGCATGATGTATTCTGCATTTAAGTTAAACAAGCAGGGAGACAATATACAGCTTTGTTGTATTCCTTTCTCAATTTTGAACCAATCAGTTGTTCCATATCTAGTTCTAACTGTTGCTTCCTGTCCCGCATATAGATAGATAAAGTGGTCAGGCACCACCTTAAGTTCTTTAAGAACTTGCCATAGTTTGCTGTGGTCCACACATTCAAAGGCTTTTGCATAGTCATTGAAGTAGAAGTAGATGTTTTTCTGGAACTCTCTGGCTTTCTCCATAATCCAGTGCATGTTAGCAATTTGGTCTCTAGTTCCTCTGTCCCTTTGAAATCCAACTTGTACTTCTGGGAGTTCCCGGTCCACATACTTCTGAAGCCTACCTTGTAGAATTTTGAGCATAACCTTGCTAGCATGTGAAGTGAGTGCAATTGTATGGTACTTGGAGCGTTCTTTGGCACTGCCGTCCTTTGGGGTTGGGATGTAGACTAATATTTTCCAGTCCTCTGGCCACTGCTGAGTTTTCCAAACTTGCTGCCATATTGAGTTTAGCACCTTAACAGCGTCATCTTTAAGATTTTAAATAGTTCAACTGGAATGCCATATCCTCCACTGGCGTTGTTAGCCATACTTTCTAAGGCCCACTTGACTTCACTCTCCAGGATGTCTGGCTCAAGGTCAGCAACCACACTATCTGGGTTGTCCGGATAATCTCTATGCATGTAGAAAAGTGTTGTGCTTCTTAGTGACCTTTCCATTGGTGTGGTCATTAACGCTCTGCTAAGAAAAAAGGAACTGGTCAACATTTTTCAATAGTGACTGATAGCGGTTAAAGCAAGGGTGATTAGAAAAAATGCTGGGCTTTATCTGTCTTGTTTCAAGGCTTGAGCAGCAGCTACTGTTGGCTGGTGAATACTTTAAGATAATTTGATCATCTGGGAGCCAGAACCTTAACCAGTAATAATGAGTGACATTTATATAGCTGAAAGCACAGCTTTGCTCTGCCCAGCCTGCCTTCTGCCCCTGTCTTTACATATGTATCTATATAAGCAGCTTGGGGTCAGCAAACTTTGATTTGGCCTACCCCAGTAAGCACTCTGCTTGCAAAGTCATTGAACCTAGTTTCTGTGCATTCATTGGCATATGCAGAAAATGGAAGGGTGTTGACTGTATGTTGTGCCTTTAAATAAGACGAAATATTGCCTTGTTATTGCTGCAGAAGGCCAGCAAGAAATGTGAAAAAAACATGTCCTCCTCAGATGGGTTATGATTGCTTCCAGATTAATTGGTGGCATGAGTACAAGAATTTTATTCTAGCTAGCTTTCCCTTTTTGGCTTTTCCTATGAAGCACTTTGTTTTGCAGTCCTGCAGGGTTCTGTGGTGGACCTGGATGCTTTGGCTTTCTTATACAGAACCACTTGGAAGTTGCTTCCACAATTCAGTGGTAGTGATAGATTGGTGCGGCGGTCACCAAAGTTTGTTTGGAGGAGCACTGGAAGACACCAAAATGCATACTGCCTGATCCCCTTCCCTGTTTAGAAACAAAGGGGGTGATTTTGCAGGTTGTTTTTACAGGTGGTACCAGCAATGTATTTCAGCTACTGTTGTCTTCCGAAGTGTAATGGAAAGGAAGGAAAACCATCTGTTCTCTTCCTTCTCCACTCCCAATTGTGTGTTCGAGAGAGAGGGCAGTCTCTTCCCACATGTCGTCGTTTAGTCGTTTAGTCGTGTCCGACTCTTCGTGACCCCATGGACCAGAACACGCCAGGCCCTCCTATCTTCTACTGCCTCCCGAAGTTGTGTCAAATTCATGTTGGTTGTTTCGCAGACACTGTCCAGCCATCTCATCCTCGGTCCACACATGGGTTTTACAAGACAAATTCTCTTCTTATGTCACAAAAGCCATGGTTCCTTTCCAGCACCTTATGCCCTCCTGCAAAAGCAAGGAAAAGAAAATACCTCTTTGAGTGTGCACTCAATTTCTCACTAACAAATGTTTTCAGGAATAGTTGCGTGCAGGAGTAAATATTTTTATTTGCTTCCCCAAATAATAAAGACAAAAAGAAAGGTATTTTTGCTGCAGAAGCACAGGAGTGTCTGCCAGATGGGAGAGGGCTACTCACTTGTGGCACAAAGGCGCATAAGTGGATTTACTGGATATTGGCAGAAGAGCTTTTTGGTTTTTTCTTGTGCTGCCAGTCTTCCAGTGGCCAGAATCCTGTTCCTTAGAGTAGTAGATAGTGCTAGAGTAACTCATAATTAGCAGGGATTTGATAAGTCAGCTCTTCTGTAAGTTCCATTGATACAAATGAGCTTTCTGGAGGTAAGGTTTCTTAGAGGAGAGAACTGCTTGGGTTTCAGGCAATCCAGGGGGGGAAAGACGCCGCTTGGACCGAGGAGGAAGTCATCTTGGCAAAGAGCTGGGAACACCCCAAGCAGAGAGTGAGAGAGTACAAAAGGATGTTGAAAATATCTCCGCCAGAGACTTTAAGTAAGTTAAAACATTTGTTCACGTAAGGAAAATCTCCATGGACCCAAATGACTACACTGAAAAGAGGTAGATGTAAAGAGTCAGAAAAATGGACTTTACCTTTTAAAAAATCTTGGAGAAGAAGAGAAGGGGGAGAAAACTACCTTACCATGAAAGTAGATGTAAAGAGTCAGAAAAATGGACTTTACCTTTTAAAAAATCTTGGAGAAGAAGAGGAGAAGGGGGAGAAAACTACCTTACCATGGAAGTTGAGTAATCTAAGAGTAGACCCTTGGTCTAGATGGGTGGAATTAAAAATCTAATAAATAAATAAGATAAAAGCCTCACTGCCGTGACTATCTGAAATATCAATATCAAATCCTATTTACTTCAAATCATTGAGGATTTTTTAAATTTTTATTGTTGTGACTTGGTGAGAACATTTAACTCTCAGGGAAGCTCCACCTTCTCTTGGATCAGACATGTAAATAAGACTGAGAAAGAAAAGTAAGGTTACAGTGACATCTGCTGACAGAAGATGTGAAAAGCACCCCACTAAAGAGAAAAAACAGCTGTTGACAGAAGACTTAAATAGTATTCCTTATTTACTTTGCTTAAGAAGAAGGAGGAAAAAATCAATGTGGTGACAAAACATGGAAAAGTGAGAACTCAGGGAGCCTCACCGGCACAAGAACAGAATCTCAGTGGGATATTGGGGCAAGCATCATTTAAGTACTGGCAACAGAATATACAAGGGATGTTATCAACAGGGCTACAGCAACTACAGTGAGGGATGGTTCAGTTGTTTGTACAAATGAAAGATATAGGGATGCAAATGATTGATATCAAAAATCAAATTACAGAAAATAAAACACAAATAGCCAGAATAGCTGGGACATCAAAAAGAACAGAAGAAAGACTGGAGACCTTGAATACAGAGATGGGAAAGCTAAAATTGGAAGAAAGCAAGATGAAATTACGCTGTTAAATCTACAAATGGAAGGAGCCAGAGCCATACTTAGATTCCAAAATCTACCAAAACAAAAAGGAGAAGATACAGTGGAAGTGACTACTACTCACTTAGTATCGCTCATGGAGATCTCATCAGAGGGTGTTCAATAAAATATAGACACAGCACAAAGAATTAATACAGCATACACCAGGAATAAAAAACTCCCCAGAGAAATTCATGTTACATTTACGAGAAAGATATTTCGAGATAAAGTTCTAAGAAATATATAAGGCAAGTAACTTCGTAGAAAATATAAGGAAATTGAGATCTTGAAACATATTCCATGGGAAATAAGACAGAAAAGGAGACAATATGCGGAGTTGACATCCCTCTTGAGAACAAACTAAATTATGTATAAGTGGTTGGTGCCTGAAGGTGTCCTGTTTGAATTCCAGGAGCAGAGTTATCATATTAACTCAAAAATGAAGGCAGAACATTTTATGAAAACAAAGAAGTGGCTGGGCAGAAAAAAGGAGAAAAAAGCAGATGAGAAACAAGAGGAGAAATTAAATGGATCATCAGGATCAGAGAGGCAGAAAGAAGCTCAAGTAGAGCACAAGAGCAAGTGAGAAGCTCTAAAGGAAAGTGCACTATAGAAACAAGAGGATCCAGTAGGAGGAAAGAAAATCTCAGCAATAAAAATGGACTAAATTAATAAAATGGTTAGACTAGGATATAATGGGTATAAAATGGCCAAAGAAAATGTTTAAAAATCAGTAGCTATTAATGAAAATGCAGATAAGATCTTTTATAGATGATATATGATTTACTGATGGTACACAATGCCAACAAAGTTTTTTAAAGATATAAAAATGTTTTTAAATAGTGTGGGAAATATAAAACACAGGAGGAGACTTTTATTATGTTTGGTGGATATATAGGGAATAATTTCATAATTAAACTCGAAAGTTAGCCGGGAAAGCATAGATTAAAGAAGAATTGACGGTCCAATTGGGGAATAGATAGATTAGTAACTATAGTAATACTGGAAAAATTGCTGTTTTTCCTTTTATCTCTCTTTCTAGCATAATTGTACAAGTTGATATAAATGTACTATGTCACTCTCTGGAATTTTACCGTGATTGATATTAAAAATCAAATTACAGAAAATAAAACACAAATAGCCAGAATAGCTGGGACATCAAAAAGAACAGAAGAAAGACTGGAGACCTTGAATAGAGAGATGGGAAAGCTAAAATTGGAAGAAAGCAAGATGAAATTACGCTGTTAAATCTACAAATGGAAAGAGCCAGTGCCATACTTGGATTCCAAAATCTACCAGAACAAAAAGGAGAAGATACAGTGGAAATGACTATTACTTACTTAGTATCGCTCATGGAGATCTCACATAATCCTACCCCCATTGAAAAGAAAAAAAGATACAAATGAGTCTTCTCTACCTGTGACTTAATTTAGCACAGGAATTTGCAACAAAACTAGGGCTTAGAATCAGTGGAATTTATGAAGGAGTTGACTTACTAAATCCTCATTGATTCAGTGATCCTAGTGCGATTTAAAAGAAAAAAAGATACAAATGAGTCTTCTCTACCTGTGACTTAATTTAGCACAGGAATTTGCAACAAAACTAGGGCTTAGAATCAGTGGAATTTATGAAGGAGTTGACTTACTAAATCCTCATTGATTCAGTGATCCTACTCCAGTGCGATTTAAAATCCTGTTTACTGTAAGCAACAGGATTTTGGCCATTATATCTGAAGCTATTTTTAAACTTTGAAGAGTTTTTTACTGGGATGTCTGACAGGTATGATGAATATAAAGCACTATCCTCCAGGTTTCTTGGTGCTGAAATAAAAAATATACCTTCAATTATAGTTATAATTTTTTATTACAATCAACAGATCAAAAAAAATTGTAGCCTTCAAATAACCATTGTGAGTTTTTAAAATTATTTTTGCATGGGAAATAAGACAGAAAAGGAGACAATGCTGAAATAAAAAATGTACCTTCAATTATAGTTACAATTTTTTATTACAATCAACAGATCAGAAAAAAATTCTAGCCTTCAAATAACCATTGTGAGTTTTTAAAATTATTTTTGTATTTTGATCTTACACATACATTCACACTGTATGCTTATTTAATTTCTTACCTTATCTTCTATGAGTAAAACAGTAAAGAGACATAAAAATACAGTAGGGATGAAATAATTAAAGAAGCAATCAAATTATTGAGCAGAGTCCTGTTGGCATAGTTATGCCAGTGAAAACCAGATCCATGCACAGGAAACCACTAATCTAAGTTATTTGAATACTTCCTATTGTGGGTTATGAGACTCCCCATCACTCCCTTTTGCCCGGGATAAGCCTTTAGGAGCATTGGGAGCCTTCAACGGTTTAAAAAAAAAGCTGCCAGATTGCCACCAGTTGTCCTGATTCTGGTGGCAGCAATCTGGCAAGGATTTTTGATTTTTAAAAGCTCTTGTTTCCAAGGCTGTCAAAGGCTTCTTCAGGGCAAAAGAGAGACCTAGGGAGACTCGGAACCCAAAACAAGGGGATAAGAAGCATTTAGTTTGCTTAAATTAATGATTTCTGGTGCTTGTTGATGGTTTACATTGGCGTAACTACACCAACAGGATATTGTCCAATATCTTCATTATAAATCTATAAAAGTTGATAACATTATCAGGGTTTTGTTGGTTACAGAGTATCAGGAAAGGATTCCAAGCTTTTTTGAATTTATTAGCTGTATACATTTTTTCTTCCCGTTTCAACTCTAAAAATATCAATTTTACCTCAGCATTTTATGCCAACATCCATTTAGCCATGCTTCCATGGCGTGAACTTGATCCATTTTCAAAATTTAGCTGTCAATATTCCTATAATGACAATTGTTTGCTATATTGGAAAGCACGAAGGATCTAATACATTCAGTAAGAAATTTTGTCGTTCCAAAGATACATCAAAAAGCAGTACCTCTTCTGTTGTACCCTTCATTTCCCCCATATTCCTTTGCTTTCCTGTGTTTCCGTCAAAGTGTCAGTCCCATTTCTACAATACTAACATATTGAATATGCTACTGGAAATATTTTGAACAGTGAAGTTCATACCATCTCTAGATAACTTTTAATTGATTTTCTCTTGATCTACCAACTGAAGATAATCTACAGCAGTACCTCGGTTTACAAAATTAGTGCATTCTATGACAGAGGTCCCCAACCCCTGGTCCGCAGCCCGGTGCCGGTCCGTGGCTTGTGCTGGACCGGTCCACGAGACAGGCATCTCATCCCCCACACACTCCCCCCTGCACAGCTCATCTGAGCCTGCGCGCGAACCTGCACGAGCACTGTGCCGCCTTTTGTGCATGCACACAAGCGTGCATGCACCTGCACAAGCACCCCCGCTCCTTTGCACATGCGCACAAGCAAGGAAGCACCCTGCAAGAGTAAGTGCACTCCTTCACACATGCGCATGAGCGCATGGGGGTGCCCCACCTTCCACAGCTGGTCTGCGGGGCTAAAACAGTTGGGGACCTCTGTTCTACGGAACATTATGTAAAGTGACAAAATTGTAAACCGGAACGCGGATTGCATTATAGCATTTTCAAAATATAAAGTATTCTGTTATGGTATACTGTTTCTAATAGTTAAAATATTTATTTCAGCTAGGGCCCTATGTATAAATTTCTGGTCTTACAGAAGGTATTGTAGGTACAACACTATCATATTCCCAAAATGTACCCTGTATCTCATTTCTTCCCTCTCACTATGACTGTTGCTCTTTTTTCTTATCATAGTTGTACTTTTAATGATAGGTCTAATCATAACTTCAAATCTCTAGGTTCATATATTCCCATCCAACAATAGTCATCCCCAAAGCCACAGGTATCTCTGATAATGTTTACAGGAAACTGCTTATCCCCATTTTTTTCTTGAGGCTTACAATGCCTGCTTTTTAAGTTATTTTGCGGTGGGGGTTGTTGCTAAGTACTGTATTGATTTATTACTTTAATTTATACATCCCCCATTAGTGCCAAAGCACTATTCTGGGCGATTTAGAAACAAATTGCACAGAGCAGTAAATACTATAGAATGCATTTTTGATTTTTTTAAAAAAGTTGTTTTCTTCAGTTGGATTGATAAGGCAAGAAGTAAATTTAGGTACAGTGGGGTCTTGACTTGATCCGTATTGGAAGGCGGTTCTCAAGTCAAAAAGTTCTCAAGTCAAATCTGCATTTCCCATAGGAATGCATTGAGAACCATTTGATCCGTATCTGCTCTTTTCCGTCCATAGAAACTAATGGGAAGCTGCTATTCCGCCTTCGACCACTAGAGGGAGATATTTCGTTTCTTTTTTTCTTAGGTCAAGAAAGGTTCAGGGAAGGCAGGGAAAATGCAGTCCAGGCAGTACAGCACCAGGCAGTCCGAAGACTGTCTCCCAATCCACTCTCTAAACGCTGGGAGGAGTGAGGAAGCAGACAGGCACCCTTTTCACTGGCCAACAGGTAACTGAAAGTTCAAATTTTGCACTTTCCCTGCCTCCCACGTGGGTTTTTTTCAGTTCGTAACTCAAATCTAAGTATGTAAGTCAAGTCAATATTTTCCTATGAGAGTGGTTTGTAAGTCAAAATGTTCTTAACTCAGGCCGTTCTTAAGTCAAGACCCCACTGTAGTGTTAACATCTTGATTGGTGCCATGTTACCAGACAATGACGTTTTCATATTTGCCTATATTTGAAGTAAATGATCTGTTTAAACATTTTCTTCTGATAAATTTATCTATCAATTAAATGTCTAAATATCTGATCCCAGAAAACGTCCTTTTTAGCTCCTATGATATCAAGCAGTGCAACCTGTGTCTGATAGTCCATACAGATTTCATAATTTCTGATTTATTTTCATTTATTTTCTGTACAGAACCTTTTCAGTACTGTATTCCTAATAGTTCAGTAAACTCCTACCTGTTTTAGTTTCCTTACTAGAAGTAAAGCAGTATAGGAAAATGTAGGTAGATAAATAAAACTGGAAGACAAATATGTTCTTAACGTTCTTATTCAAGCATTCAGCAAAAGTGTTTGTGAGTGGTCTAGCTTCCTCCTGCTCTGTCTTAGCTCTCAGTGTGTTACAAGTGATAGTCTGAAGGGCACAGTGTCTTCTGCCTGCTGGTAATTTGTATGAGCCATTGATTTACCTCCCCATGCCTATGGACTGAAGCTTATGGAAGAGGCAGGGCTAGCACTCTGTTCCTCCTCACATGTTCAGATTAATCCTGTCCGAATAAGTCTAAGTTTTCAACTTCAGTTTGACTCTTTAGGAAGCAGTAGATATCACTGAATTACTTTCTTTGTTGCAGAGTTGTGCATGTCTCAAGACCCCTTCACACATGTCAACAGCGCTTGGCTCCTGTTCCTCCTCTTCCAGAGGGGGGAAAAGTCCGTCATGGAATAATTCCGGAAGAGTTTTTTGAGTTCTTGTACCCTAAAACAGGAGTCACAGGTTAGTAAAAGTTTTTACCAAGAGGGTTCCCAAAGCATTTGTTCAGTTACAGCCCCTCTGTTCTGCTAGGATTCTCAAACATTCCATATGTTTGAAGACTTCAGAGATAGTGGCACAACTATTGTATAGAACTTGCATTGCTTTTTACATTATTTTGTATTCATACAGCATAAAGTGAAATACTTCAAATAGACATTACCTTTTTAGGTTTGTGCTATGTTTCCTAATTGAACCAAAATGTTTTGTGACAAAAGCAAACTGCCTGTGATCACTGTTACCCACAGTTGCTTATCTTGAGCAGTGAACTTGCTCTCTGATTTTAAAAATTGTGACATTTAATTGGCCAAACAGCCAATCCTTATCTAAGTGCCGTTTATTATACATTATTTATTTGGTTTACAGTTTATCCCGCCTTTTTCCCTGTCCTTGGATCACCAACATAATTGTTAAATCAATTTATTTGTCACTAAGATTGAAATCTGATTGTGAAAAATGTAAAATTTTCAGGACAGATAGTTCCAGAGGTTGAAACATTGTCTACTGGTACCCTGAGTTCTAGCCAGGAAATCCTGGTATAAAATTGAAGTTCCAGTACATGGGCATGCATTTAGAATTAAAATCGGAATGACTCAAAGCATGTGTTCAATCCAGGAACTTATGATCAGTGCTAGATCCAAAGGCTAAATCAAGATTGGGTTCACCAAGAGTAGATAGTTGAATAAGAGGGAGTTTGGTAAGTCTGCACTTAGGTAAGACCCACTGAATTATTAGATTTTTATATGATTAACAATTGGATTTAGACCCAGTTTTCAAGTTGTTTCTCACAAAAATCAGCTCAAGAGTCCTCACTGATCATTCTCTTTCAGCAATTTATTTAAGGAAGGGAAAGCTTTTTAGTTGTTGATATTGCAAGATGAATGGGAATCAGAAAACCCTGCTAATCTACTGCAAATCAAGACATCTAGCAGTAGTTGCTGGTCTGCTTTCTGTCCACTTCTCATTTACTGCACTGAGTTAGTAACATGATCAAAAAAGTAATCTAATTTTGCTGTAATCAGGCACAGCATTTGGGGGGGGGGGAATAGGTAGAGGGGAGAACATATTTCAGAATTTCCCAGATTTCTGGGAGCGCTTGAAATCTGGTTTTCATTCTTTGTGTGAATAGGCCTTCTAGTTCTTGTATAGGTATATCAGAACTCCTGTTGTCTTTACCTCTTACATCACTTCTAATTCTGTGAATTATGATTTACGGCATATAGAATAATGAAATGGGTGTGATGGGTGCAAAGCTCTTGGGTTTTGGAATGTCTGAGTTGGGAAGGAAGACCTCTCGTTTATCTGGAGTGAGCTTTGCAAAGACATTTGGGAACAGCAATTGCGTTCTGTTTTGATTATCTTGTTGAAACTTCATCCAGGACAGTAGATGAATAACTCAAGTAGAGCTTGGTTTTTCCTCGTTCTATGTTAGCATGACATAGGTCACAGCCAGATGAATTCTCTGACCAACAATCTCATGTGCCGGCAGGAAAAAATATTCAGCCATCTTAGAAGATTGTTTTTTAGTCACTTCTCATTGACCTGAATATTTTTTGTTCTCTCTGTAATGCAAAATTGCCCAACCCTACTGTAATGTATCCTTGTTTTCCTGTTCTTAGGCCCTTATATGTTTGGGACTGGACTTCTGCTCTATCTCCTCTCTAAGGAAATTTATGTAATTAACCATGAAACGATGTCAGGTCTCTGTGTTTTGGCACTCATCATTTTCTGTGTAAAAAAATATGGTTCCACTGTAGCAGCTTTTGCTGACAAAATCCAACAGGTGAGATAGTACTTCTTTTGTTACTTGTTTACAATACTCATAAATGAGAAATAATGCAGAATTCATATGATTGAGTATACTGTTGCTGATGTTATACGGATGGCATAGTTTAAGTGTGGTAACGTTCTTTATGCTTTTTATCAGTTAATGTATATGTCTTTAATTCCTGTTGGTGGTATAATCTGGTAGTGACTAGCAACTAACCGCCTCCCTCCCCATTTGAAATGGGTTGGTAGATTAACAGTGGATTCTGTGCATGTTTATGCAGAACTACATTCCTATGAATTTAGTGGAGCTTTAAGATTTCAGTACTCTGCTCCTTCAAAGCAAAAGTGTGCTGGTTATATGCCACCCCATACTGCTGAAAACTCTCTCTGGGCAGTTTCACATTGCTACCACCCCAGTAAGCCGGGTACTCAATTTACTGACCTCAGAAGAATGGAAAGCTGAGTACAGAGCTACCTGAGTACGGGATCAATCATCGATCATGAGTAGTACTGCTGTTTAACCGCTGTGCCACGAGGTGGAACAATCATTTCTCATGGAACATTAATTTATCATCAATATCTCAAAACAGTGGGAGAATAAGTTATATTTTAGTGTTCAGTATAAGTGAACCTACTTCCATTATGAACTTATGAACTTTTTTCCAAATTACTCTCCTTCATGATTTTCTGAACGTGAAAATCATGAACATGTATGTTCTAAACAATTTGAGAATTGCATTTTTGTACCCTGGTTAGAACTGTTTTCCGAATGTAGGATTTTATATTTAATCTGGTATGAAATGTCGTAGTTGAAATATCTTGAATTCTGTAAAATTTTAGTTTTTGAAAAATCTAACAGCATAAACTGTGACTTTTTATTATATAGAAGTATGATGTTGGATACAACATTGCAGGTTTGATTCTACAAACTACTTCTCTCTCAGTATTTGCTTGACCTAATTACTTCTGATTTCAGGATGAGCTGAATGTAATGGAATCTGTGAAAAGTCACAACATGAATCAACTTGAGGAAGTCATTCAGCATGAAAAGAAAGAACAGTGGAGGATGGAAGGTTTACACTTTCTCTTTGATGCCAAGCGGGTACAGTATTGAAATATACATGCATTGTTCATCCAAAACAGTGCAGTAGTTCTTAGAAAGACAATGTTGAAAATTGTCCCTGGCAATTTTTCAGAAGTTAACATGAGCTATTAAAATTGCTGTCTATTCTACACTTTCTCTTGTCCTTCATCACTTATTGGTATTTGCAGATTAGCATTCATTACTGTAAGGCATTTTGAAGAAACAGTCATTTATAGGTGCCATGGAATAATGAAGAAATCTGAGGGCTTTATTTTGGAGTTGCTGATGATAATTTAAATATATGACTATTTAGACCAGGGTGAGCAAAATGTACCCCAGAATGATGGCTTAATGGTCTTGTGGGAAAAGGCAATAAAGATTTTTTTTCTGTATTAATTGTAACAAAAGAAAAGGTGTTTTACAGAAGAATGGCTCTGTTTTAAGCAAGAGTCTAACAAAGATAGCAGTTAATGGTCAAAATCTTCTTGCTTCCAGTGGCTTCTCACTAGCACTTAACAAATCCCTACTGGGATTTTCTGACTTGAGCAAAATCAGTGGGTGTACATATACCCAATAATCCAAGCAGGAACTTTTTAAATTCCAGGGGGAGCATACTTCATGTATTGCCATTTGCCTTCTGCAGACATGATTATAAAACCGGATTGTGCCCATAGTGTCAATTTTGCCACTGTCTGTGTTTGTGAGCAGAGATAAAATACTTTATTCAAACTGACTATCTTGCATATTTGATTGTTTGTTAATGTATAGACTGCACTGAGTATATTTCATTTAAATAAGGCTTAAAAAGTGAATTAAAATGTTTGATTTCTTGTTGATCTAGACCAATGTTGCTGTGATCTTGGAGACCAACTACAGAGAAAGGCTGCTCACTGTGTACTCTGAAGTGAAAAAGCGGCTAGACTACCAACTGGCACTACAGCATCTGAAGCGTACTATGGAAAAAGATCACATGATCAGCTGGATTGAGCGCAATGTTAAACAGAGTATTACACTGCAGCAGGTACTTAGAAACTTCTACTTCACAGATACCTGTGGAGGATATTTCACTGTTAGAAAGTCCATTTGGATTTTCCTTGGATATCTTCACAGTTTAGAATAGTGATTCCCAACCTTGGGTCCCCACATGTTCTTGCACTAAAACTCCTAAATGACTTCACCACTAGCTGTGCTGGCCAGAATTTCTGGGAGCTGTAGTTCAAGAGCATCAGGGAATCCAAGGTTGGCCACCACTGATATAGAAGAAGATGACATCCTAATTAATGGAGAATGTATGCATTTATGTAGTACAGTACAGCCCAATTCAAACCTATAAAGCCCTATACAGTTTGATCCAGGCTACCTGGAAGACGGTATCTCCCTATATGTGCCTTCTCAGCAATTAAGATCAGCAGAGGAGGCCCTCCTCTCAGTCCCATTGCCAGCACAAGAACAGCTGATGGGGACACGGAAGAGGGCCTTCTCTGTTGCAGCTTCCAGGCTATGGAACGGTCTCCCTCAGAAGATCAGAATGGCCCCTTCCCTGTTATTCTTCTGAAAAAAGCTAATGACCCATCTCTTCAGACAGGCTTTTAACAGTTATAACTGAGTCCCTGAACCCCATTTTAGCAGTTAATTTTAACCTTTTTTTGTTTTCATGTTTTAATCTTTTAATTGTATTTTAAATCATATATTGTTTAATTTATTTTTTTAATATTTAACATTGCATTTTTAAATTGGGTGAATTTTAATGTTGTGAGCCGCTTTGGGTCATATAAATAAAACTAATGCATCATATAAATAAAACTAATAATAAATAAATAAATAGTAATAGTGCTGCCTATCTCTCTTTAAAATTTTTGCTATTTCTGTCTAAAATGAAGGCTGAAGCAGGAGTTCTGCTTTTACAAATCCATTAACATTTATTAATATAGTGTAAATTGAACAGCCATAGGGCTTTACGGTGCACTCGCTAAGCGAGGCACCACTGTATAGTGTAAATTGAACAGACATAATTTTCATTGTAAAGGCAGAACTTTGCTACCAACTCTTTAGGTTTTGTTCATTTCCATGAGCTTATAGTCCCACTGTAGTTCTTACAAATAACATGCCACAGAATAAGCTGATCTGTTTGCAACCAGCTACTCCAAATATTATTTCTCTGTGCAACGTAATCCATTGTATGGAGGATTCAGGAACCTGGTAGAACTGAGCTGTATAATAGCTATTCACTTGATTAGTTTGCTTTCTCTGCAGTTTTTCAATGTACAAACTTGCTTATTTGTTTCAGGAGAAGGAGAGCATTGCCAAGTGCATCCTGGACCTGAAGATGCTGTCAAAGTCTGCACAGGCAACTGTCTGAACATACAGCACCTACTTGTGACTTCTTAAATCGTTATTGTTCTTCATTAGTAAAACATCTGAACACAGGCTGTGCACTTTGCAATAGCTGCAGAAAGTGTTGTATTCTTTGGGTGTGTTCAGCTTATGACAGTTTGACTCTCACATGGCAGTTAATGCCAGGAAGTAGAATGAATAAAATTGTTTCTTACCTCACGTCACACTGTGCTACATAATATAAATAGATGCTGGCTTTAGATTGCTGGGATTCTGTTGTATACTTCTGCAAGAGTAACACCATCAGTGTAACTTCAGTGTCAAATTGCAGCAAACTCAGAAGTTAGCATATGCATTTGGGCTTTCACAAAGAGTCATGCAACTGACATACCAGATGCCTACATTGATTCATTGTGGCAATTTGAATAAATTTGAAAGTTACACTCATGGCATAACACCAGTGGGCATAACTAATGTGTTGATTTGTTCTGATGTATAGTAACATAGCTGTACTCTTGCGCATTTATAATACTTTGATTAACACCATTGCCCACAAGTGACACATTTTGCTGTTGACACCTTCAAAAATATTATTTTGCGGATTTCATTTGGCATCTCCAGCCTGACAGCTTCTACACACACACAAATCCTACATTCTGACTGTTTAAACTGACAGTGTCATGCCAAATAAGTACATACAGGAGCTGTCAAATACGGCTTCTGAGCCTTGAATAAGGTGGTGCAGCATGGCATCTCCCAATCTGAATAGACACTCGTTCAGCAGGCCAGAGCAAAGAGGCAGTCATGAAACCAGCAAAATCAGGGAGCTGGACAGGGGACAGATTGTATTTGTCCTCTGTGTGGAAGGGATTGTCACCCTCAAATTGGCTGCCTCAGCCACACTAGACGCTGTTCCAAGACCTCTATTCAGAGCACATTACCATATTCTCTTGAGACTGAAGGATACCTACTCAGTAGGCAATAATACTATCTGAACATTTTACTTTACTGATTATTGCAGACTGAGCGGCTAACATTGCATTGCAGAAAGAAGTCTGCCTTGCACCCCCTTTAAATAAATGCAAAAACACTATGCAATTTTAAACATTATGCCTAATATTGAAAGGGCTCCAGAACAGATGATCACTCATCAATGTGCGACCAGCTGCTATATTCATGGAGGAAGGGAACTTTTTTGGCCTCAGGGCTCAATTAGCAATGGCTTGTGAACAGGGCCATTGATAGTATAGTTCTTCAAAATGTGTGTCCACACCTGGCACCCCATGGAAAGGTTGCAGACAGCCACAGAAGTAAAAAATGTTAACTTTCCATGCTACATGATGGAGGTAAGAAAAATAGTGACAAAAGAGTGTGTTGGTGTGAAAGAAGGAAGGTAGCAGGCAAAGATCTATGTATGCCACTTGACATGTGGAACCTGGGTCCAGATCTGTGCCACTTGACATTCTTCATAATGTCTCCTAAGTCATTCTGTTGTCTCTCTTGGCTATATTTTCCCCCAAAAAGTTACATTTAATGGTTCTAGTGAAGTGTCTACTTTTCCAAAGTGTCCTGTCCTGTCTTTTCTTTGGATGCAGTTATTGCTGTGGTTCTTCTGTTTTTGAATCAGAAAGAACATACTCTCAGTTATCTCTACATCTAGTTTAAAATGAAGGATAGCCTTTGAATTCTCCTTTTTTTCCCCTTTTACTCTTCATTTAACTGAGCGAATGGTGTTCTTCTAAGAATGGACCCTGACAATATCATGTTGTATATTAGTCTTTCATTTACCAGGAAAAAATGGATGGGAAAATGAGTCACCAAAAAGATTTAACTTCCACTCAAATGATCTGCCTCCAGCTATGGCATCACAAACAACCTCTCCTTCAGTCCAAGGTTTGTTTGCTTCATCCTCTGATATTCAGGCACTATCATTTGGTGCTTTACAGCATAATAGAAGCGAAAATGAAGGAGAAGGGTGATACAAAGAGCTGCTGCTATTCAGGGTAGAAAATATTGGCCTAACTAGACTAATGGTCAATTTTGTATAAGGCTGTTTATAACCTTTTCAGATGAATTGCTTATATTAAGTATGCCACATTCTGAGTCACTACAGAATATAGTATCTTAAAATGTACCGTAAATGCAAGTCATCCGGAATGTCTTTATTCTGAAAGCATTGACATTGGGATTCATGACTGAGTTGGAATGTGAGAGGATGCTGGCTACGTGGGATGTATTCAGGGCAGAGATGGCTGAAATAGTTCAAGATACCATATTTTCCCATTTATAAGATACCCCAGTTTATAAGACACACCCCTTTCCTAACCGCCAAATTAAGAAAACATAGCTTTAAGTATTCAGCCTCTGGGCTCAGAACACTCAGACATTAGGAGCCCCTGTTGACTCTGAGCCTACAGGCTCCACATCCAACAAGGTGTGTTCCAGTTGGTTTGTTCAGCATCAGCTGACATCAGTTCCATAAGACTCATGATTGGAGGAAGCTAAGTCTAATTGGAGGCAGCTAAGCCTTGTGATTAAAGGAAGCCTGTCTACAGAGGCAAGGTACAGGCCATTTTGTGCTCTGTGTTCTCAGCTTAGTTCCATGTATAAGATGGCCCTCCATTTTTAGTATTATCATTTTAGGAAAAAGTAGTATCTTATACATGGAAAAATATGGTATATAGTGATAACCAAAAAACGGCAAATAAGTAAAGGACCAAGGTCAAAGACTTGGCTATCTTGCTCATGCTTATAAACTATTCCTTGTCCTCTGGTGCTCGCTTTGATCAAATGATGTAAAAAAATCTGTATGTAAAGGACACACGGGAATATCCAGTGTGTTATGGGTAGAGTGACAGACTAAGACTTGGGAGGACTGGCTTCAAATCCCTGCTCAACCATGGAAGCTCCCTGTGGTTATGGAACTAGTAAAGCTACTCATTAAATATCTCACTACTTACCTCGAAAGCCCTATTAGTGTTGTTATAGGTCAGTTCCAACTTGATAGTACATAGAAAGGACACACATGTATCAATGGGACCAGAGTGCCAGCGATGAAGCTCAAGCATATATAACATATACTCAGGCCTTGGTGAACTGACACTCAAAGACATGAGTTTCGTGGACTTTCCTGAGTGCAACCAAACATGGGGCCAGTTTCATTATAATATAATTTAAAGAGAAGGGGATTTTGAATACTGTACATACTTGAACAATCCCCACAAATTTGTTTTATTCTCGATTCCTACTCAGTAACTAGGTAAAGTCAGCATTTAATTTTTTTAAAAAACACACATTCAGTTGATAAGGAAGATTTCAGCAACTCCATCAAAGCCTATGCTGTAAATCACATTGTCCAAGTGTAGCTTGGTCAGTAATGGGTTGGCCTGGGTCCATGCTAGACCTCCGCTGAAAGGCTAGTTCTCATTTATTAATGTTTCCATATAAGCTGCTTTTCAGGGGAAAGATAGAAGCCTATAAGGTAGGGTCGCAGACCACAGGCCAATTAGTCCCAGACATAACCCCCCGTTTCATGTCATTAAAATATACAGTCAAGAAATTCAAAATGTTACTGTCCTGCTTCTGCCTTTCTTAACAAATGAACAGAGTAATGTCAGAGGAAACTGCTTTCATTAGTGTATTACCACGGTCCTAAAGAAAACCGTAGGGTCAGTAGAGTCAATCCAATGTTGAGATGCCAATTAAGATGAAACTATAGGTTGCCCCAAGGTAATTCGTGAACTGGGAAGATACACTATTGAACCAATAATGCAAATGCCAGGAAATGCCCTTAATACAAAGACTTTTAGACGTTAATTTAAAAGAGATGGAATTAGATATTGTCTTCAAAACTGAGACTGTAATGGCAGTAACTCTTAGCAAAAACAGTGCTATCTCTCGAGGGTAGACTCCAAGGTTTGTCATTGTTAATAAAGATACACAGAACTGATCTCAGCAGAGCTCACTGCTTATCTCTATACTAGTCTATCCTTACGATATTTTTAGTGATCCTGGTGTGCTCCGTTCTGGTGTTAAGTGACTGAGGTATAAGCAATGGTATAGCGGGATTCCGAAGGGGCAGAGGAACTCGAGACCAAATTGCTAACATGCGCTGGGAGTCAGACATGACTAAACGACTAAACGATAGTGGACTTAGGGCTGGGAAGGCCAAAGTCCTGGGACTTTCTGAGTACGGTGGTGCCTCACTTAACGAGTGCACCGTTTAACGATGAATCCGCATAGTGATCTATTTTTTTAGATCGCTAATGCGATCGCATTGCGATGTTCTGAATAGGCAAAACATCGCATTGCAATGATCAGTAAGAATTTCGCTTACCGATCTTCGCATTGCGATGTTTTTTAAACAGCTGATCGGTGCTTCCAAAATGGCCACCGGGTGCCCAAAATGGCTGCCGCAAGTGTTTTTGCGCCCTGCCCTCGCTTACCGAGGGCGCAAAAATGGCGGCGCTATGGAGGAACTTCGCTGAACGGTGAGTTAGGGAACCATAGGAACACATTAAACAAAGTTTAATGCGTTCCTATGGCTTTTTCCGTTCCGTTTAGTGATGTTTCTCCATAGTGACGATTAATCTGTAACGGATTAACGTCGCTATGCGGGGCACCACTGTAGTAGAGACCATGGTTTCATTTGCCACCCTACTGAGTTTTCTAGTTGTTTCTGAGCTTAGAATCAGAATAATTGAGTTGGAAGGGGCCTATTGAGTCCAACTCCCTGCTCAATGCAGCAATTCAAATCAAAGCAGATCTGACAGATGGTTATACAATTTTCTCTTGAAATGCCTCCATTTCATTACAAGGTAATTGGTTCTATTGTGGTACTGTACTGTTTTAACAGTTGATAAGTTTGTCTTGATATTAGCTGCAAACCTCACAGCAGCTGGGAGAGAAATGGATTTCCCTGGGAACAGTATATAGTTAAAAGCTATCCTTGTAATGAAAAGTACTGAGAATGATTAGGCCTTGAATGAACAATAAGAGCCATTAATTTTACAGAAGATCTGTTGGTTCTATTGTGGTACTGTACTGTTTTAACAGTTGATAAGTTTGTCTTGATATTAGCTGCAAACCTCACAGCAGCTGGGAGAGAAATGGATTTCCCTGGGAACAGTATATAGTTAAAAGCTATCCTTGTAATGAAAAGTACTGAGAATGATTAGGCCTTGAATGAACAATAAGAGCCATTAATTTTACAGGCGATC